ATTACAATACTAATTTCAGATAATGAAATCAAGAAAACAGAGTTTACTGAGATACAAAAGAATACTGAAAAGGGAGAACAGAATAATGATAATAATTAAATATTGACCAATATAACATATGGGAAAGACAAAGAATCACAGGAGAATTAAACAGAGTACATTAGAAGCTGGAAGGATAACGCAGATTAGTTCAATTTTTACGGCATATTCAAGTCCAGTAGATCAATATACTCATTTGCTTCCGAGAGTTTCATAGCTAACTCTCATAGCTAACTCTCATAGCTAACTCTCATAGCTAACATACGATTGATATATATATATATATATATATACATAGATAACATACGACTGATATATATACTTTTGTTTTTATTTGATTTTATTTTCACTAAACAGATTTATAGGTAACATAAGGAGCTTATCTTGTAATGGCATAAAAGCTTAAAAGGGAATTATGGATTACGGCCGACTTCCATAAATGCTTGTAATGACGAGACAAGTTCTGCACGCCTTTTTAGGTCATAACCTTCTGGTTTCTGTCCCTAGAAGTCTTTCTTACTACTGAGGAGGTAATACGAGGTAATTAGATTTACCCAAACAATATCAATCCAAGAGGGCATTATTAAAAGTACTTACAAGGTCTTGTCTATTGTCCGCTGTACAAAAATCGATCTCAGGCTAGGAACTGAAACGCCATCCTATGTTGTATCCTAGAGTTGGATCATATTGGTCTACAAATCATGGTTACAGGCTGAATAATATGAGGGATGATCTTTGGGGACACGTCAATAAGTTAAAAGTTTTCACTTCCCGACTTAATTTTTTTTCCTTTTATGTCTTTGATGATTTATAAGGAATTAAATGACTCCATACCGAACCCAGCATTCAATACAATCAGTGAATTGTTTAAAAATTCATTCAATTCTTACCAGGCAGGCATTCATGTTCCTATAAAACCAATTGCAAGAGAACTTTTATATCACTAAGCCCGTACTTATCTAGCATCAAGAACTTTCCATTTTGATTAAGGCCTGAAATTTTTTTCAGGTCTGATTTTCACTATTGCTCAAATAGTGCTTTACTGCGAAGGATCGTGCACATATACATAATTATTATTCTTTATTACAGAAACCTTTGAGTCCTTTTACACGGCTTTGTCACCGAATTGAATGGTTTGAGGTTTAATTACTGCCAATTGCAGTGTTTGACTGTAAAGAGAAAAAACAATAAGAATTACGTTTTCGTTTTCTTTACAAAAAGCAGCCAAAGTTCCTAAGCATTCAGTATACATCTGGCGTTAGCTTTTCAAGATGTCGGCATCTCGACTAGGCGAGGAGTTGTTACCCTTTCAGGAAAAAGTTCTCAAACAAACAAGCTCAAAATGGGAATTGTTCCTAAACAGGACTCCAAAGATGTCGCTGCATCTCAGAAATCGGTTATGTATCGCAACAACGACACTCATCTTCCCTCGTGCCTCCAATGCCGACAGCAGAGTTTTCAAGCGGAAACACTTTTACGAAAAACACTTACAAATTGTTACCAGATGCCAAAATGCCAATGCCGACTAAAACGGTGGAAACCATAATTGCAGATATTTTGAAATAGCTCTTCAAGAACGAAATTTATGATAGTGTCAAGTGCAAAGACCACTATCAGAATATTTGCGGTTGATCAAAGAGAAAGTTAAAAGTTTGTTATGCCCGCAATACAAACTAGTTGTTGAAGCGCACATTGGCGAGAAAAAAGGTCAGGGAATACGAATTACAAGCAGATGTGCCTGGAATGAGAAATTTGACGATTTCGTTACTGTTTACTTTACGAATGCGTCATTACTTGCTCAAGCGATATATTGTTTATGCTCTGTACGCAGAGTAATAGCAATGGGACGTTTTCATGACGGAAGTTTTTGAAACGGGGTGGAAATTTTTTTCTTAAGCGGACAACTCCGTAGCATAAGTGTGATTTGCTTAGTAGCATATAACCTATTTACACTAACAAAACTTGTTTAGTTAAAATGGGTTTAACTGAATGAAAACAAGACACAGAGAACTGAGTAACTGGATTCAAGAACTCACTAACATGTACTTTCAATGTGCTAAATTTGAAGTAGACAAATATCGATCTAAGCAGCTTCTATTAAGAAAACAATTTTCAGCTCCAAACAGCTTCAAAACATGCTTAGGCTTTGGTTTAAATAGGTTTCTTGCTCCAAACAAAATCATGGAAATCTAATCTCTCCAATTAAAGTGGATGGGGTGCTTGATCTACAACTTGCCTAGTAAGACACGTGGTTATATATCTTTAAGGATTTCCAGCTAGGGTGCTCTGGCATTAAATCGTAGCTAGAAAATTAGGAGTAAGGTTTCTTAAGTCAGAAACTCTTTCAGTCAGTCACGTTTGGACGCAGCAAAGGACTTTCGGTTTTCACGACAATGCATGAGGTAAATTGGGAAGAGAGGAGGAACGCGTGACGTGTGATGCGTGAGGTGTGATCTATAGAAATAAATCATGTTGACAGAGAGATGTTTAGGGAGCATTCATAATTTATCTAGAGGGTGGGTTATGATGATTTCCTTATTTTTTTCCATTCATTTTAAAAATCCTCCCCCTGTTTTTGTTCTGACCCCCCCTCAAGAGATGTTAATTTATCAAAGGAAAATATCATAGTCCCCCCCCCCAGCACATAAGTACAACATGTCAAACTCACCCTTAGCCTTTCGCAGAAGGAAAGTTGGCAACAGCAAAAGAGGTTTCTGTAGCTTTCGTGGTTTCTGAGGAGCTGGTTAAGAATTACGTACACCGAGTGTGGGGAGAGTGAGAATGAGGAGAGTGAGAATGAGGAGAGTGAGAATGAGGAGAGTGAGAATGAGGAGAGTGAGAATGAGGAGAGTGAGAATGGAGAGAGCGAGAGTGAGGAGAGTGAGAATGAGGAGAGTGAGAATGAGGAGAGTGAGAATGAGGAGAGTGAGAATGAGGAGAGCGAGAATGAGGAGAGCGAGAATGAGGAGAGTGAGAATGAGGAGAGTGAGAATGAGGAGAGTGAGAAAGAGGAGAGCGAGAGTGAGGAGAGTGAGAATGAGGAGAGCGAGAGTGAGGAGAGTGAGAATGGGGAGAGTGAGAATGAGGAGAGNGGTACAATAGTGTAAGACAATAGGTACAATAGTGTAAGACAATAGGTACAATAGTGTAAGACAATAGGTACAATAGTGTAAGACAATAGGTACAATAGTGTAAGACAATAGGTACAATAGTGTAAGACAATAGGTACAATAGTGTAAGACAATAGGTACAATAGTGTAAGACAATAGGTACAATAGTGTAAGACAATAGGTACAATAGTGTAAGACAATAGGTACAATAGTGTAAGACAATAGGTACAATAGTGTAAGACAATAGGTACAATAGTGTAAGACAATAGGTACAATAGTGTAAGACAATAGGTACAATAGTGTAAGACAATAGGTACAATAGTGTAAGACAATAGGTACAATAGTGTAAGACAATAGGTACAATAGTGTAAGACAATAGGTACAATAGTGTAAGACAATAGGTACAATAGTGTAAGACAATAGGTACAATAGTGTAAGACAATAGGTACAATAGTGTAGGACAATAGGTACAATAGTGTAAGACAATAGGTACAATAGTGTAGGACAATAGTCACGACGGTAACGTCAAGGAAGACGTCGATTAAAAAATGAATTTCTACTTTTAATTAGAATTTCGAAAATGGCTGCATGTGTTTACCATCTCATATGGTGCCATAACTCAACCTCAACATAACGCATAAAAGTAGCATTGAGTTCCAAATGGAAAATAAAAAAACTTGCCGTCGCGGTTTCGATTTGGAAACGACGCAAATTTTGGTGATTTCAGACTGTTATTTTGAAAATGACGGCTATGAAATGTACTAAGTTTTAAAATGCACTTTTTGAGCTATTGTTCTGCCGATTAGGTCTTTTGTTTTTCCATGTCATTGCCGTCGCCGTCGTGGTTTGCTTGAGGTCCTTAATGAGCTACGTACGCTTTCCAGTAGCTACTTTACTTGAGGGAATAGAGTTATTATTTCTGCATGTTCTCAGTTGGTTTTCAAATATGGCAAATGTATAATTACATACTGATGAACCCTGCCAAATAGTACAGTAAGCAAAGAAGTCTTTGTCCTTACTGAGTTGCATGGAAAAAAAATGAAAACTGATAGAGTTAAGATTTTACACAGTCTTCAGGTTATCCTATTCTTAACAATCCACCTTTCATTTATTTTTCTAATTTTTCGCTATCCCCTCCTTCCTCTAACTCCTCGATCACTGGGCCTGCAGCCACTTCCCGTAACGACCCGCTCAAGAAGGTTCTATCTGCTGGGAGTGGGTCACTATTGTGCTTCTTGTATCTTGGTCTAGAAGATTTAATCCGTCCGCGGGAACCACTGCTGTCGGGAAGGGATGCTGAAAGAGGTACCTTTAGCTTCAACAAATTAGGAGATATAGCTGATGATTTTGATTTTCTGTTTGAACTCTTTCCGTTTATAACTAGTTCTTCTAGATTTGATTGTTCCGAGCTTGGTCTCAATTTTATAGCTGATTTTTCCAACATCGTGCGGTTGTCTGGATTTAACGCCTGAAAATCCGAACGACTGTAAAGCGAGGAAAATCGTCCTAGCGCAATGAGGGAAGACTCGACTGTAGACCATCTTCTACCTGAGAGACACTGCTTTTTCATCGCTGTTGAATTCCTTCTGGAAAATATTCTCCTTTTGTTTCCTTTCCCTTCACGGGTCGACCATTTGCTTCTTTGTTGTCCAGGGGCTGGTGTCGTCGCTGAGGACCGGAATGAATGGGTCTTTTGATGAGTCATCAGATTAAAAAGCTGAGGTAACTGGCTTTGACCAGAAGGCAATCTGTTTTCGTTGTTTTTACCATTCTTTTCATAAGCCATCTTTTGTTTTTCTGTGACAGCAGCAGACGAAGGAAGCATTTCCTCCACTGAGCATGTCCTCAAATCGTGATGATTGAAAGACCCCCCTGTGGTTCCCACTGACCAACTATTTTGTTTTGAATTCATCTTGCCCTTGTTTGTCTTTTTCTCAAAACATGAATTGTTTGTTTTTTCTGGAAATTTCTGTTTAGTAATTCTCTCTGCTGCATCGCTTAACTCAAAATGGAAAATCTTGGATGTCGAAGTACGTTTGTCAGCGTTCTCGCAACTCACCAAAGGAGCAGACTTAGTCCTTCGTAGAAACTTCTTGTTGGAATTCATGCCGTTACAGTTATGATTAAAGCTGACTGAATAGTTTCCCAGCTTGGTGGAACTCGTCACATCCCGTCTGTAATCAATTATGGATGAGGACCTTGACTTTACACATCTGCCTCTATTTTGTCCCCAGAAGACTCTGTTTCTTAAATTCGTCTTATCTATTTCTTCTTTTTCATCCTTTAGATGCCACTCCCATTCTTTGGCGTTTAGTTTAAGATCAAAATCACGGGCAGAAGGGGACGCTTTTCCATCATTTAATAACACTTCCTTGCAAGCATCTCGTTTGAGTTTCGTCGCTCTAATCAGAGGAGTCTCGCCTTTGTTGTTGGGTTTATCAGCAGCTCGTACATCGTAGGAATTCATTGCTTCCGTAAGAGCTTTAGTGATGCCAGCGTTACCAGCATCAACGGAGTAAAGAAGCGCAGTATTCCCCATTTTGTCCGCAGCAGCAAAATCACACTCTTCGCTTTGAAGAAGTAATTTGACTAGTTTCTCTTTACCCAGCTTACACGCTTGCATAAGCGGACTCATTCCATGTTCGTCTTGCATGCAAACGTCTGCTCCTCTAAGGAGTAACTTCTTCGTCATACGACACGCTAGATTCTCGTCCTCTACGAAACAAAGCGCTAAAAGAGGAGTTTTTCCCGATAATTGTTCCTGTTGATTGACATTGTCGCCAAGTTTCAAAAGTAATTTGGCTTGTTTGAACCTCTTTCGCTCGATAGCCTTAACTAAAGCTGCCATGATTTTTTTCCGTAGTTATGTTCCGTTACTTTTCGTAATGTACTTCAGATTTCGACGACATTTGATTCCCCAACAAACACAGAGTTACTTAGAGAAGATGTTCCGAAAGTGATGAATTAGCATCCATTAGACAAATATTAGTTAAACTTCCTCGCCAGGATTTAGACTCATTCGTTGAAACGCAAAGCTATTGAAAAATAATGAAATATGTTCTTGAACGAAAAGTTTTCTGCCGCTGTTTGTTTGTAGTTATGCGCTGTCTGTGAGAGGCAAGTGAGAGAAGATAGATTTTGGCTGTCGTAGCTATGGCAACAAAATGAGTGAGGCAGGTGCAAACTGGGGTTAATATCAGAGGCCGCAAATTTTGAAAGAACACAACTGACTGACAGCGGAAGTTGCGTAATGTTAGCTGCCTGCCATCTATGAATGATTCAGAGAAACTGCATCTTATTTTAGACAATAGCACTCCTACGTATAACAATTTGAACTGATTTTCAAAACATTCAGACTGCGTTTCATTGACTAAGTTGAGACAGTGATTGTAGGTACGTTGTCAAGCAAGCTGGTGGTCAAGACGACAGAAAATTGACTTCGTTCGTCGCTATGGAAGACCATGGAAAGAGGGTCGTAGTAGGGTAAAGAGAAGAGGAAATACGGGAGAAAAGTTTGTAAATCACGATCCAGAGGCGAGTGATTAAAAAACTTTTCAAATGTTCTCCCAACAGCCCAAGTGGCTTATTACGTTAGTAAACCGACAGACCGATTGCGGTCTATTGCTTTTGCTAAATCAACCTCAATTTTCTATGGGTTTATCGGTGCAATCTGATGTCAAACGTTTGTCATTCCTGATAAACCTGTAGTAGTCGCTGTAAAAAGTATGTCAAAACTGATTTCAAATCTAACAAATGCCAAACACTAGAACGAAACTGCAATTTTTTCGGGGGTTCCATCTTGCTTTCCTTCACTTCGGCAAAAAATTCTACTTTTTTGCTTAATTCATTGCAGTGCTCAAGTTACTAGACAACCCTTGATGTCAGTGAAAACTAGTGCCTCCCAGAATCTTAAAAACTTTCTTAAAAACTTTCTTCCTCTCCCAGCAACTGTCAGATTAATCTATATACATCCGTAACCTCACTGATTTCCATATTAACGGAGCCCAGGCCACCGTTACCCTAAAAACTTTCTGCCACTGCAAAGTAGGAAACAAAAAGCAAAGTAGGAAACAAAAAGCACCAGATATCATCGACTCAAAGTGACGTATACACTCTCTGAAAAGCCTGTTAGTTTCTAGACTTTTCGCAGTGTAATAGAAACTCGTAATCAGTCTCTCCAGCTACACCTCGGAGACAACTCGGAGACCAGTTTTGATGAACAGTGTCAGGTCGTCGGTCGCCACATATAGAGTTTCAAACACAGAAAGCGGTGCACAAATTTATTTTACCATTTCCCGTAGTTGCATCAATTGCTGAGATAGGGTTAGAACAATCCCATCAAAGGATAGACTATTTAATAATTATTCCCCAAAATAGAGGTAAACTGAGTGGTCTATATTTTCCTCGCCACTTCGTCGCTCGGTAAATATCCCCCTCTTTCACCGGCACTGAGGTGAATAATCGTTTTGTTATATACCACAGAGAAACAAAATAATTAGTTTTTACCACAGTTGGCAGTTATGCCGCAATATGATGACCAATTTGCCGTTGTCGATAAGGGTACAGACAACGATGCTCGCGTCAACGTGTCACACAACGTGTCACGCACTGAAAGAATTGTTTTATCCGGTGAATAGTACTTGCTAATCACTTCCGAACTAGCCAATTAGCGGTAGTGAAAAGTATTTTCACCTGTGATGTGTAATATATACCAAAGTCGCTTGATACTCTCTTCAAATCAGCATGTATGCACTATGCAAGGAGGGTTGAAGTTAAAGCCCAACTTTCCCTTGAAGATCATCATGATTCCCAATGATGCTATGTATACTCCTGACCCTATCTAGGAGATCTTTTCTCTTAAATCTCTATCCGGTGGACAGCGCCGTACGTGTTGTTTACACTTCTCCGCTGGATAGCGATTTATCCGTCGGTTAGCGTTATCCGCCATTTGAGCAATGGGCTCTGTTGAACTTTTTCCAGTTTTTCAGTTCGTTTGAGTACTTCCCCGATTTGGAAGAATTTTAGCCCATAGATAACCAATAGCCTTCATTTGGCGCGTCATGGTCATAAAACAAAAAGCGAATCATATGCATCTTTACGTCTTCAAGTGAACTTTTTTGGTGGCAGCGAGATAGCGTGAATATACATAGATTGTATTGGGGATTCACTGTCTGTTGCCGTTCCTTCGAAAGTTAAAAAGTTTGGCGGGCCTGCGCGACTCCTGTCACTCCTCCGTGACAAATTCGTTCTTCGGAGGAAAGAAGTCAGAAATTATATTCCTAGACGCGAGTTATTTAACAGGGCATAGGCCCTTGACATGCAAACGCATATTAAAGAGACAGAGACCTTCTAATACATGAACTTTTTCCACCAAGCTAAATACTGGATTTGTGAAAGGAGAAGCCCCATGCCTCCTAAGACCCTTCCTGAGAACGAAATTGTCTCGCTTTACGTTTAAAGAAAATGTACAGAGTTTCAAAATACGCTTCGAAAATAGACGAAACCTAGGTGAGGGTTTTGAGAAACGTATCTCAGGATTTATTTCTGCCGGAGAGAAAGTATACTTTAAAACAAAGAAAATAGCACGCACACAGAAAAAAATATTGCCTTTGTAACACAATCTCATCCGGCTTTGCCAAACCTCAAGAACATACAGAGGGGGAAATGACACCTTAAAACTGACCCTTATTATCACATCGCAAAGGAAAGTCATTAAGAGATATCTCAATAAGAACTTTGAGGGTAGAAAATTTAAAAGCGCTAGCGAATGGTTGGAGACGCACAGGGCTATCAACATCTTTCAACGGTCAACTGCCTTTTGCTTTCCGGCTTCCCGGCATGTGGTCTCACGCAAGGCAGAAGTTTTCATGAATCAAGTGACTCTTTTCATTGCTTCAATTAAACTGTCCTTCATTCAATGATCAAGAACGTAGACTTACAACACGATTTAGTAGATATAGTAAATGTCCCCAGTTGCAGTAGTAACGCTATGTAACGCAACACACTGAACGCAGCAGTGGGCATTTTCGCTGCCACAACAGGTCTTAAACACTATCACTTAAAAGGCATATATAAAACATTTGAACCGTTGGAGAGTGTTTGAGAGCGTTTGGTCAGAGCTTTTGAAGAAGGATCACAGTGGCCATACAAATCTTTCAAAGGCTTCAAACTACGACGTACAACAAATTTGACTTTCTCGAAAACCGGTCATAAATTACATGTTAAAAAAAAAACAGTGCTTGCGTTTGTCCTTGAGAACGATAGAATACGCGACAAATACAGAAAAAAAAATTCTTCTACACATTTATAGTATATCAAATTATAGTTACCTATAGTGAAAGGAAAAAGAAACGGCCTAACTTTTACAGTATGTTCAGTCAAAATCAGCCGATTTCTGCCGCTTTTACCGCCTTATTAACGCTATATCAATATGGACGACATGTGTAAGCTGAGGGGATGGTCCCCTATTTCATATCTTTACACGAAAAGGGTACTATCCCTAACTTAAATATCATATTATGGTCTCTCTAATGACTACCTTAATAACTTAGTTTCGAAGCAGGAACACAGATACAATATAAGAAATATTTTGAATGTAAATATCACTAAACCGAAAACGGAAATGGGAAGACTATCTTTTAAGCATAGGGCAGCTATAGCTTGGTATTCTCTTCCAGATCGCATTATTTAAAGAAGCTCCCTCTATTCCGAGTTTTCTGAAAGAATTGAATAAAAATAAGGACATTTTGATGAAAATATCATATACCAAAGAGTCATCCATGATTAAAAAGAAAGATGATGATTTTTTCTATTTTTAAGCATACATCATAGCTTACGTGATAACAACTTTTATAATTGTATTTTCAGATAGGTTTATAGTAATAGCTTTAATGTTTACACACGTTGTATCCATGTATTTTTATATTTATAGATTTTAAATGTGCAATTGTGATTATAATGTTAATTTAGTGTGCAGGTCTACATCAGGACTTATGGTCTTGCCTATTTTAGTAACCTGCCTTAACAAGTAAATTTGTTGTTGTTTGTGTTGTACCACAATGCACTGCAATCGGAGTGCGAACACTGCCTGTTACACGGAGATTTGTGTGCGGACATTATCTACAACAAGATCCGAGCAGTAATACGAGAGAGCGAAGCTCGGGGAGACTCGTGAGCTTCGAGGAACAGATAATGTCCAAGGAGTAAAATATACGATATCTGACCTTACGTGAAGTATATCCGATCCAAGGGATGTTTGCATTTTTTTGTACGCCTGCTCATCATTCTTTTTCAAGTTCTTTAAAAGAACCGTTCATGAAGGACCATTAACTGAATATCATTTCAATATTTTCACAGTGGATGAAACTCGCTTTCAAAAAAAGTCCAACAGTGGATTTAACGTGAATAAATTATTTAATAAAGTTACACAAGTGTATTTGGGCTTTAGAGTACGAGCGTTATTTGTTTATTGAGTTTGAAATGATCTATCATAAAACTCCTGGTTCTACGCAGTCTTTGAACACTGGAATTGAAAAAAAAAATTGAAACGAAAAGTTTTGACTATTTAGTTACGACTCAAGGACTCCAAAACTCAAAGTCCTTTGTTCTCCTGAAATACTGAACCTTTACAAACAGTTGAAATTAATGAAGCGCCCGCTCACCTGACAATTTACAACGGCGTTTTTATTTTTACTTTAATCGTACAACTAATTATGTCCCTATTATTGAATAACACTTTCAACATGTCCCACACTGTTTTTTCTTCTATTGTTAATACTTATGAAGTGAAAAGTATATTAGCTCCTGCGGGAGAGCTGTGATTCCCTCAAGAACTAAATATCTGCGGACAAACATTTAGTCGCCGTTGAATAACGTAGCGAAAACAATCCCTGTTGCGAACAACGAATTCGTGCCAAATGTTGCCATCGCAAAGTTATCTGTCCTCGGATTCCAAACACACTGGCTAGAAATTTCAATTCCTCGGTCTCGATTAGCACCGATGTAAACCAGAGCTGTAATCTTGTATTGAGTATCACAAAGAGATTTAACACCTTTCTCTATTGATTGGCTTATAGTTCTACACTTGCTGCCACAGATTTCGTGATTGTATTCCGTACTTTCAAGGTGCGCAGACAAACTCTGGCGAATTATCTCCTGCATTCTCGAGTTTAAATCCTTACGATCCAAACCGTTTGTTTTGTGATATTCTTTGCCAGTCCTTGGCTGTTTACTGACGTTTTCCGCATGGTTGCCTGAAGTCATGATTTCTCTGTCGTATTCCTTATATGAACTGGCTTGTAACTTGAATGAAAGCACATTTTCAGAGGCACTAAGAGTTTTCCTTTGTAAAGGTGGGGTTTTGCTCACCCCGAAATCTTTGCCTGTCGTGAGTGAAGCCCCAGAGACTGCCTTCAATAACTCACTTTCGCTGTTTACCGACAGAGCTTTTCGCAGCTTTGGTCTGCCAACAGACCTACTCAAAGCCAGACTTCTTAATCTTGCCGCTGGACTTCTTACCCCGGTCTTGTTGCTCATCATCCAAAGATTTCCCTCCAATTAGAGACGTGATGAAACAAAGCGAAAACTTACACGATTTTGCGAGCTTCGAATACCGACATCAGTCTTTTAATTAGCTCGTAACATGTTTCCTTTTAGGTTTCCGCTAGAGCGTTATACATTAACCTCGTGACAACCGCGGAGAATTTGATTGACAATCTCGGACTCTTAAAGAGCAATATAATTACCTGATGACGAAGCTAAACATCTTGTACATTTTTTTAAGGATTTTATAAACGTCTGGGTCAAGGGTTTATAAATATAGTTCTTAGAACTTGAAAACGTAGGTACGGAAGGTCAGAAGTTCAAAGAAATTGTGGTTCATCATTTACATTTGTGGCTATGATAGGATTGTACGCTGTGTCTGGACCTGCTTACAAGTAACTTGTCACGTTATCATTTAATTAGTACATTGGTTATGGTCGTTATGAATCACGATGATATTTGTGACCGACAAAAACATTAATGAAAAATCTAAAGTTTGGAGAGAGAGTTAAGGATTTTGAGTTTCAACAAAATCAATGATTTCTCTATTCAGTTATTTGGAAGTTGTGAGAATCCATTTGAAAAATCTCTCCCGCCTGTTTTTACAGTACATATCAATTATGTCTGTAACAACCTCAGTGACGAACTCGGATTTTGGACAGTGAAGAATCTGTAATAACTAACATTTGTGAGATTTCATCCCCACTCTGCCCCAGAGACTTATTGCTGTTAGTCTACCGTGTGACTATAAGAGACCTGAGTCCCAGGATGGCTGACGGCTGTGTGGAGTTGCGTTCGAGAGTTCAATTCGCCTCCAAAACTCAACTGATTGTTCGATGTGAAAAAACTATGCTAGTTCGATGAACGAGTTTCTTGAAGCGCGACAAAAATTACAAATTTTTATACTTATTTGGCGTTATGAAACAAGACATGGGCATAATGTTTAATTCGTGTAAGTTGAAAGCTTCTCACCATGATTATTTTCATTTGAAATTACTTATTTCAATAAAAGAGTCAACAACTTAAGCGTTTTAGTCAATAATTTATATTGTTTAATATATTTCAGTTCCTGACAAAGGAAAACAGAAAAATTACCAAAATGTCATCACACGAACACCGTTCGGAGAAACAAAATTTGTCTTGATTCAGTAAAAAGAACAATTCAGTAATGAAATCAAAACCATCTTTGTTATTTAAATTGTACCTTCGTTCACCGAAACTTGAAAGCAAGGGCCTAATTTCCATATGATAATTCTAATTTTTTTTTAAGACCAGCATGAAGATAATTTTTTAAAAGGGTAATATCTGAGAAGAACACTTACTACCTCTTTATTTCCTTTGGCTTGAGACCTCGGCACGTTTAGATATAGAGTCATCAGGATCCTGATCACATGCTGTCTAAAGCATTCATTCATTCAGCCTGGCTACTAAAAGAGTGTTCCTCCACCTTCCAAATGTCTCTTCACTCTTTTAAAACTCCGAAAACGATTGCTACAGCGAATAAAGACGCATTTTGAAAAGATGAAGTCGAAAAATTATCTCTGCAATCATTCCAAAGGAACCGACTAGCCATCAAAATACCTTGGCCACAGTTAGATCCTATACTAACACTACATATCAAACGGAATCTCTCCATTCCTAGATTCTTTACTCGGCTTTTGATATCCTCTGACAAACTAACACAAAGCACCCTACAAATATTGGCGTCATATGATTGAGTGGATAGTTTCTCTTCCAAAATTTCGTCCATTATTTTCTTGATTTCGTGTGCGTAAAACACGCTTTGTCTCCGTCGTCCTTCGACTTTATTCGTCGAATCGTGCTGTTGTGTTTTCTTTCCAAGGTGTTCCTCTAAATCTCCTGTCTCGTCTATGTGAGGTGTTCTCTGTTCTGTTGCAGGGTTTTTCGCAGAATCCTCACTTCGCAAGCTTTTCTCAAATATCCCAAAGTGCTGACCACGAAATCTAACTCTTTCCATTGTCGAGCTTCAAATATAAAATCAGCTTGCGAATTTATCCTTAGTCCTTCGTCAAAGAATCAGTTCAATTTCAAACAAGCTTCCCTTTATAAAGTGAAACTTCGCAGAGATCTCCTCTGATTTTCTCTCTCGAAGAAAAATTAGTCTTACCCTTCGTTTCAGGATGGGAGCCTGAAATTCGTAAACTGAGATTGGTTTTTTGCTTTTTTTAACACCAAATCACAGCGGGTGATCGAAATGATCCATACATAACATGAAAGGTCTTCATGGCAGATGTTTCCTGTTAGTCCATCTCCATGGAAACAACCTTTTGTTATTGAAACAGAAAGAGCTGGAGTACATGCTGTCTTTAGCAAGCTTTTACAAATATTTCACTTATTACACACAGTGATATCCTTTCACTTGAAGTTGGCCAAGAAGTCGGCGTTTTTCTCACAAATTTCATCTACGTCCGGTCCGGAAAACTTTGAATAAAAATAAATCAGTTTCCTGTGTTGTAGTGCTTTGAGGGATTTGTATTTTTTTAACAACACTACAGCTAGGCTGTCTATAATAAATGTAAAGTGACAAGGCAAAGAAATATTTACCAAAGAAAAATGCTGTTTTTCTTTCCTTTTTTAGGGTAGGGGAGGGCAACTTAAGATATTTAAATAACTAATTTAAATCATATTTATTTCTTTAAATTACTATTTATTGCTGTAATGGGGTCGACCATCGTAACCTATGAACAAAATCAATCAATCGATTTTTTCAAAGCTGCCACTTGTAACTGGACTTGAGAAAAAAATTCAGAAATTTCCTTGCATGACGTAATAAGCTATAAGCCGGAAAAATGCATATAATAGATATATCTCATCAGACGTTTTTGTGTGTAGTATCGCTGAGCACGTTTTGTGCTATATGGCGACTTAAATTGCAAACAATGAGTAAAAAGTAGTAGTAGCTAACTACCGTTCAGCAGTGGGGTGAAAAAGGAACGGGCCTGAAAGTAGGGTCTTGGATGTCCTTAGCGCAGGTTTTCTCGGACTTCTCAAAATCTCAACCTCATGCCCAGTCTACCAGAAAACTACCCACAACTCTTCGCGCACTATCTGGCGCATGCGAGGTACACGTACTACGCGTGATGACGTCATATGGCTGGTTCTTTCTAAGAATTACACGCTACAAATGCTTGTGGTGCAGTATCCCAAATTTCTTTGATTTCCTTGCTTTCAACCGTGGTATTTTATTGTCGTGGATCTAAATCTGACTACGGATTAGAGAAGAACCATGCAGATAACGTTTAAAACTCTTCAACAACAAACTTTCAAGCTCGAAATAGACGAGTCTGCAACGGTACGTTTGACAGTCTGAGCGATCACGAGCATGTCTCGATCTTTCAGTTAATTTTTTAAATCTTTACATTGATAATCACATTTTTCTATCTTTTCTCGATTTTTTTTTTTTTTTGTATTTGTTACAGTGTTTTTACTTATTTACTTTATCCTGTCTTTCAGTGCACTCGGTTTCTCGAATATTACTCTAGTTTTTGAAATATCGAATTAGCACTCGACATTTTCTGAACCTCTTAGTCAAAAGTGTCCTCACATTTTCTTGTCCAAGTACCGTTCAAGTTAAGTATGAAGAGTTTCTGCTCTAAAAGTAGGCTTTTTTCCTCATAACACTTGTGATTAGTAAGCAATCGGTAACAGAAATTTGTTTCCTAAAAATCCTTTCACCTGCTCATATAAATAGCAGTGGCATAAAATCAAAGAATTTTCAACTTCCTGCCAGAAAATGAATGGAAAGTGGCTGCCAGTTTATTGCTTAGATTTTATAACTTATATATTGTGCAGTTTCCTATGGATTTATTTTATTTTTCATACTTTTGTCTGATGTTTCATGCCCTTGTAATAACTTAATTATCACCAAAATATATATACTTTGTCATCTAATCATATTAAAGTCATTAACTAGACAATCCTTCATTATCTGCTATGACAATAACAGATATCTTTGAATCTTCTTCATCTGTTCTGTGATAAATGAAGGGAATATTCAGAGAAACAGTCAGGCATGTGATACAGCGTGTAACTTTGTTTACAATTTGTGAAGGTCACAGTACTGTTTGTCAGTTCACCATGTTCTTAACTCTTTACCCCTTTAAAGGATAAGCTTTTAATTTCTCTTAACACCGTTGTCACTGAGTCAAACATTTCAGTCACAAGATTAAAGGAAATGATCACCAACTAAAGTAGCTCTTGATTGTTAAACAAATTCTCCTAGTCAGCTCCTTAGGAATTGTGTATAGAACAGTTTGGAAAATATGCACAATGATGTTAGGATGTACAGTATAGGGTTAATGTAAGCACAGTTCATTGAACACCCAGAAAGAAATGGAATCAAACAATAGTAGTTTTACCCAGGCCTGGAAGTCATGAGAATTTGGTGTGGATCATTGTGAGGTATAATTATGATACAAATTTCTGAATCAAAGGTCAACCAACTCACAAGGAAAAAATAAAAAGACTCTATAGTTCTGTTAATGGTCATGCTTTGTAATGACATCTAGTTGGTACTTTTCTTTTCTGATAAATGAATACTAACTTACTGAAGAAAAGCAAAGAAAGAAGTCTTTTCATTGCCTGATTATTTTCATATAATTATGATACAATTTCGGAATCAAAGATCAACTTACAAGGAAAAAATAAAAAGGCATTGTAGTTCTGTTAATGGTCATGCTTTGTAATGACATCTAGTTGATACTTTTCTTTTCTGATAAATGAATACTAACTTACTGAAGAAAAGCAAAGAAAGAAGTCTTTTCACTGCCTGATTATTTTCAGATAATTATGATACAATTTCGGAATCAAAGCTCAACTTACAAGGAAAAAATAAAAAGGCATTGTAGTTCTGTTAATGGTCATGCTTTGTAATGACATCTAGTTGATACTTTTCTTTTCTGATACATAAATACTAACTTAATTGAGACTTTAAGGTTTATTCTTAGTTTCAGACAGTTTAGTTCCTGAGTTCACACATGACAGTCTTTTGAACAGTACATTGTACAATTTGTTTATCTCTCAGTCAACACTCTGTGCACAACAAGGTTAAATGTACTGCTATGCACTTTAGAATGTAGAACAATTATTTACTTAGATTCATTCCTCTGAGAACACTGCACTCATCCATTAAATCTCTACTTGTAATACCAAGATGTAAACTTAAGATGTATGGTCAAACGGCTTTTTCATATCTTGCCCCAGTATTATGGAATTCTCTTCCAGAGGATATGGGAAGGTGAAAGTCACTGACCACTTATAAATTTGATCTTGAGACTTTTCTTTTTTAACATTTTTTAGTTGATACATGGATAATAATATGTTATATATAATTTTTAATAATGTGACATAGATCTTTCTTTTAATTATATTTTTAATTGATATTCTATTCTTAATTATTTTACAATTCAACTTTCAATATTTTTAAAATGCATAATATTTATAGTAGAGTCAACTTCGACATTGTTGTCATATCTGGCCCTCTGGCAGGGTGTGGGAAAAAAATGAAAATTGTGCACTTTTTCAGAGGCAAATTGTGCGGGAGAAAAAGTTAATTGTGCGGGTTATTGTGCAGGATTGCGTAATCTTGCATCGAACAAAATATTTCATATTCCACTCCCTGTTGATGTAAACATCGGGTTCCCATAAATCATACCTTTTCAAGTAATATCAATGTAAAATTCCTCCTGTAATGGCTAAATGACTTCAAGATTTTACTTTGAATGATTTTTGTCTTATTGACTGAACTTTAGAACCTATTTTGAAGCAATTCTTTGTTTGTCAAAGCGATCAAAAGAGCTAAACGAAAACACGCGAGGAGATCACCCCATAACTTGAGTTTGCCAGTAAAAGTAACCGTCGATGGAAGCCATGTTTTCTTATTCCACTACGATTTACGAAAGTCTTAATATCTGACAACCCATTCGTTCTGTAAATTCCAAGAATAAACATTCCTTTTTTCACTTTGAATGAGAAAGCCACAACACCAGCGGCCTTATTCAACAACACCTCTGATTTGTTATTTGAAAAGCATAGGCACAAACCGCAAATGAAAAATAGATTTAGAAGTAGACTAGTGCCCAGGAAAGCGCAGTCTACGGTAAAAACGCCTTGTTATTTGAATAACGCAATTGACGAGTTGTTTGATGAAAGCGTGGAAATGCTAGAGTGTTTTTGAAGGTAAATAGTCTGAAAATAGTCTAGAATATTCTAGAAATCTTGATACTCCACAGAAATACCGGTTTTGATTCAAATTTGAAATAAAAATTTCCCTATTGTGCGGGATTTTGCGAATTTTCACGGATTGTGCCGGATTGGGCGGGTTTGACGGAATTGTGCGGTTCCGCACTCGCGCACCCTGTCAGAAGGCCTGTCATATAGAAATTTATCTAACAATCTTTTTTATTTCAGGTAGCAGATCTCAAAAACAAACTAGAAACTGAGAAAGGAAAGGATGCTTACCCCAAGGCCTGTATCAGACTTATTTATGCTGGTAAGGAATTTTGGTTGTGATTATTATAACTTCTATTTGATACTTTCATGTTGAAATAACAACTTAATAACAGAGCATGTGGGCTGTACTGAGGACTATTGGCTCAAGGTAGTGATAGCATGGAGCAAGCCTGTTTATTTTTAATTTACTTGCTTTTGCAAAATCAAAAATACACAGTTTATCACCATTTTCATGGAAAGCATCTGTATGGCAAAATACCTTGACCAAGTAAGAACCAATCAGAATGCTCAAATTTGCCTTGGGACTACCTTGTCATATAAAAATTAATAATGATTCATTGAAGTGGAACTGGTTAGTGGTGGATGTTCATCTGTATTTTCCATATGAAAACAGTGATAAGCTGTGTATATTTGGTCATGAAAGCTGGAAAATCCCAAATAAACAAGTTTGGACCAAATGTTGGATATACTGGTGGAGATAAGTGCTGTATACACTAAAACATTGAGATTATCTAGTACAAAAAGATAATTTTACCTAATTTATTCCTACAACAACTACAATATTTTGGGGTTTAATATCATATGAGTTGCTGAGAGTTTGATAGAAAAGGATATTGCAGTTTGAGTGGCCAATTAAAGCACACCTTCAGTGTTGTCCACTCTTTTAGCATACATAAATAATAGTCAGGATCTACAAGTAGAATTACACATAATATACTAAAGTGGATCAATTGCTATCGATCATCAGGGATTGTGGTAAATTTATGGGCAAACAGTGATCTTACAGAAGTCAACTTGCACTTTCTATGTGAAAGTTAGAGCTTGCTTTAGTCGTAGAGCTACTTTAAAATACAATCTTACTGTGAATGTTGTAGCTGGTTAGGCTATTGTGCTTATCAGGTATTGCTAGGTACCTCAATTTTACCCTGCAAGCAGTTGATTTCTCCTATGGGCAGAGGAGAAACCAAGTGCTTTCAGGGTAACCAATTAGTGAGTTTCCAAGAAAGATGTTGTATTAGTTCTCTAGGCAAGCAAAACACTTTGTTTACTATCAATTAGAATTATCAGTAAGCACACCATGATTTATTGCTATGCGCAGGATGTTTGTTTTGTTTAAAAACAATTTTTAAACAAAACAAAACAGATGATCTTAATGGGATTTTGCATCTGAAAGTGTGGGAAAAGATTTTGTGTTTTGTTTGCCGTTATCATGAAAATTATGGTGGCACTGACCCACCAACCCTTGTCAATTGTTACAAGAAACCTTGCTCATATCAGTACCACTATTTCCAAACAGTATGAGAACAGCAAACAATGAAATCAATAGCCGTATTCATCCGTGTATACATGTAAGTCGACCCTTTATGACTGAAAAATCAGCCCAGAAAATCACCCATGACTTATACACGGATCATAGACAAAGACGTGACCCAAGCAATCCAAGAAATTGGCATAACAATTGCCCAAAGTCCGTTACGAAAACTGAGTTTACAAAACCAGTTCTAATTGTGTTCGAGTTTCGTCAGTTTTCAGGGCGTTCTTCATCGACAAAAAAGTTTGAAATAATAAATTTTACGTGGCTTAAACAAAAATCTAGTGGGGCTGATTTCCATTGTATCTTCTGATCAGTAGAGCAGACATTTTTCTTTATAGCTTTACTGCTGTTTTCAGTGCTGAATTCTCGTTTTCATCAAACGATTACAGTAGCTTAGTGACCTGGAAAATTCTGTTTTCTCACATGAACGCGTGTAGTTTCCAAGATGGTGGTGTTTTCATCAAGCGCTCCTTTGAAGCTCTTCGGTGTTCCTTTGGTCTACTAAACCTCCTTTCAAAAGGTTATTTAAATGGATGAAGATTTCATTTTCAAAGCGATGTACAAAATATGCTAAATTACTCCTCCAGTAAATCGAAGTGCTCGTATATGCTTAAATCATGAATCATGGTGATGTAAACAAGTGCAACTAAACTTCACAGCACATGGTCACATTTTGCTCTGCAGTTTTTTTTTTTTTTAATTCACCTTGTTTCCAATACATTCTCAGAAATAAGAGATCTGCCATTTAGGAAATTTCTATTGGTCTGAATTTTTCTTTCCTAGAAATTATGAAAAATCCGACTTTTGACCTTGAAAATGGTGGGTTAACTTATACACGGGGTCGACTTGTACATGGGTAAATACAGTAATTGTAAGATTTTACATGGTCCTATTTTAAAGTAAGGCATATTCAGGAGCTAGACAGCCGAGACAAGTCGTATTAAATTTGATCTAAAACTATGATTGTGACAATATTGTGTGTATTGGTCCCCTTCAGCATACATACAGCCTTTATGTTTAGTTCATTGAATTATCATATTCATTTTCAGGGAAAATATTAAATGATGACCAGCCAGTATCAGAATACAAAATTGAGGAAAAGAGTTTTGTTGTCATTATGGTAGCAAAGGTGAGCACCAGTCTCTTCTTTAGCATAACCACAAGGTGCTGTATTTTGTCGGCAGAGTTCTTGTATGCAGTTTGACTTATGTTGGAAGAGAATGAGTGATTTAAGTTATACAAAATGTGTTATACACTGTAGCGGTCAACATGCTTTGATAAAACGTTGTATTTGTATTTCCACTTGCATTTGTGCCTGTATTGTTGGCAAAAGCAGCAATACAAATGTGTGATATATTGGTTGTACATGTGGCTGTCAAGACTCATTTTTACCTTTGATATAATTGTTTTTGTACCCATTATTGCTATAATTAAATACAGTCTATTAAACCCACAAAACTGTGAAGTCCTGAAATAATTAAAGAATCTCAATGTGTTTTTTGGGAAAAGCTGATTAGGGCAGCTTGAGTAAAATAGACTAAAAACAGCAACCGTAATCATTACATCCCATTTGTTTGAAATTTTCTCACTTATTCTGAATCTCAGTTTGATTGGTCAGTATTCATCAAACCTGTCAGTATTAAAACTGTTGGCAATTTCTTTCTTCGCTCCAACGAAGGGCTAACGCTCAAAACGTCAGTTTTTATAATCGTAACGGTGACCAATTTACCATTTCAACTTTGTTGATATATTCAAATTATTTCCTTCTTGAAGGTTTGGTGTTATCCAATATTTTATCACAGATTTTTGTTGTAAAATGTTTTCACAAATCTTTACTTATTTGAAAGTTTGGTTGCTAGTGAAAATTTTGATTTTAAAAAAGGCATCAAAATAGTGAGGGTTTAACGGGTGTTTTGATGTGGAGGCACCCTCAAAATAAGCTATTCAGCCACAGTGCAAAATTATGACAAAATTAATACCAATGAATGAAAAGTTAATGAAAGATAGAAAATGTTGTGAATAACTCAGATTTGGATTTTTTTTCCCCTTCATATTTTAGCCAAAGGCTGCTCCTGCACCAGCTCCAAGCCAACCTGTATCAACACCTCAGGTAGGATTTTGTTCTCAGTTCTAGGAATTGCTTCTTTTCAAATTATTTTAGTGTCAAGAAGTACTTACCCCTTTCTTCAAGCTCAACTGTTCTTCGTGCTAGTTTGTAAACCTAAAATTATTCATGGAGACAAAATATTGTTTATAACCGAAAAAGGAGAAAAGGATAGTTTTTGTTAGGGGCTATAAGTGCTGACTCTATGGCTTGTCCTCAAAATAGTCAACATTTTTGCTGTCCAGTCGTTGTTCAACGTTGTACATGTACATCAAACATTGAAAGGCACACTACTGACACTTAAGGTGATGAAGGCGAATACAACAACTGATTTTTTCATATTATTGACTAATCTTTATGTACATTATGACATTGATAGCCCACAGCTGCAACAGTCACAGAAAGTACTGCAAGACCTGCAGATGAGTCTAAGCCTGAAAGGTGAGGGGAACTTTCTTTGGGTGAAATAGGTGCTTTACAGTTTATAGTTCTGGTATTTGATTGAATCATAGTATTTATTTTTATTGTACTACTTTGTAAGTTGTGTTTGTCAATATGCTTAGATTTGCCTGTTATCCAGTGACTAATTGTATTATGAGTAGGCTGAGTCAAACTTGATACAACGCAGGCTAGCTGTTGCACCATTTTATCTTAAGGGGAGGAATTCCTTGGGTTCAACGGTGGCCATGATACACTTCAGTTGAACTGCTCCATACACATCCAACCCTTTGTGAACATGTGATTAGTATGTTTCTTTCTGCTTTTAAAAACCCTGAACTAGATGGTCATGGTTACTCTTTGACTCAAATCTTTTGCTGTATGGTGGTCACTCTCACCTTCCCAGTGCTTATCTGTTGTTGTTAATTGTTCTTTATTGTTGTGTTGTGCAAGGTGTTTTCTTCCTCTGACCCTTTTTTTTTATAATGGAACTCTGACCAGCTCTGATGCTGATAAACCCAAAGCTACAGATGAACCAGAATCAACTACAAGTCCAGCTGTTTCTACTGCCACTCCATCTTCCAGCTCAGATCAAGTTTTGTCCACTGCTGAGTCAACATTAGGTATGCCAGTTAGAAAGAACACCCAATGTACAACTAAACTTTAAGGTGAAATTCCTTTGCACTTCAATTTTTTTTAGTGAAAAACTCAAATATCAGTTCTCAAATTTCACTTTGAAGGCTCCAGTCACGAATTTAGAGCACCGACACTAGTGATTTACTAGTTTGTTACTTTTCAAATCTTGATCAAAATTATAAGTACTTTCTAAAAACAGCCTGCCCTTAAAAAAGTTGAATAGTAGAATTTAAAATTTTTATTATTTACATCTTATTGCCATTTGTATTTTGATCTGTGACTTGTGAAATTTAAGGCCAATAGTTGAAATATAAACTTGAGTAGCTTGAGATGATTTCAGCACTGACCACAGACCTGTTGAGGGGGTGAACCCATCAGAGTGACAAGCATCCAATTCCTCTTTACATTATCTCCCCTGAATTACACAGAAAGGCCACAAGAGTAAAGGAAATTATTAACAACTGTAGAAGTTCTTCACTGCTAAACAAATTCTCATTGTCAGCACCTTAGAAAATGCATAGAGAACAGTAGGGAGAATATAATTATGCACTGATGCTAGGATTTAAAGGGTTGATTGGCTGAGAGAGGCCAGTGCTTCAATATGGTGCATTGTTATCGGAGTCTAGAGCACTATCCACTTAGCTAACATGTCTTCCAGATTTCTTCACTGCTAATGTTTGCTTTGAACTTGCAGTTACAGGGCAGGAGTATGACAGAATGGTGGATGAAATCAGTGCAATGGGATTTGAAAGAGAAAAGGTGGGTCTTAAAATCATAAACTGAGTATGTCATTGTGAGTCTAGTTGCAGTGATAGGCTTGTTGGTATTACAAATGGGAATAGTTTCAAATCTTTTTTGTCAACACTGTGTGCATCCTTGGAGACCCAGGGGCTGTGAGTCGATTTCAAGTTAAGGGCAGAAGAGCCCCTGGGGACATTGTCTTACAAGACTAGTTCCAAACGGTCGCAGTCGTTCTGGCATCTGATTGGTGCCAGAAAATCTTTGTGTTTTTCTACCCAATCAGAGTGAAGTGTCCTTTGGAGTCTTTTCGTGTGTTTCAACATGCACATATACAACAAGCTCTGTTGCTCACTATGTTTGTTTGGGCCATGCAGCGAAGCTTTGCCCGAGGTGAAAAGTTTCAGTCTCAGCATACAATATAAGAGAAATCGATCAGTTTGTCGGCGAAATCTTACCGGAAATTATACCGAATACATTCGCAGGTATCACAAGAGAACATGTTTAAAAGTTTGTGAGGTTCGTATAAAACATAATGGTTGCAGGCATTGATATGTCGCTTTAAACGTTAGATGAGATGTAAGCCTGAATTGCTCAAGATTTTTTGTATAATTTGCTGTAACTGAAACTTTT